CATAAAGTCTTTGAGATTCTTATGATTTGTATACATGGTGACTAGACTTGAAGTGCCTTCTAAATAATGACACTATTCTTGAAAAGAATCTACAATTGCAAGAAGTTCTTTGTCATAGATCTCATAATTAATCTTCGCTACTAAAAAATTTCTAGAATGAAAAGCTACAAGTTGAAGTTTATCATTTATTTCTATTTATGATAATATTAGACTTAAAGAAAAGTTTAATGCATTTATTTTTATAAAAAATATCTTTAAAAAGTCAATATAATACAAGATTGGTGTAAAAATAAAGGCTATTTTTAAAACTTTAAATGTTACTTCTGCTTCTTAATTCCACTAAAGTTTGTCTTTACAAGTCAAATATATAAGTGAAGATGCAACTCAAGAGAAGAGTTTGATGAGGATCTAATATTAGTTGATAAATCTCAAAAAACATTGAACATCTCATATCATTTTTGAGATCTTCTAATCCATAATAGTTTGAATTTTCTTAAGATCCATTATAAATCCATCATTTGAAATGATATAACCTAAGAAGTCAACTTGAGTACTGTAGAATATATACTTTTTTATCTTGGTATAAAGTCTTGCATCTCTTAATTTTTGTAACACGTGGTGAACATGAAATTTATATTCTTTTATATTTTTAGAATAGATCAGGATGTCATTTAGATAATAGACAATAAAATTATCCAAAAACTCTCAAAAAATATCATTCATAAGATATTGAAAAGTTGATGGTGCATTTGTAAGTCCAAAAAACATGACATTATATTCAAAATTTCTATACCTAGTTTGAAATACAATCTTCTATTCATCTCTTTTTTTAATGTTTACCTGATTGTATGCTCCTTGTAGGTCTATTTTTGTATAAATCTTAGTTTGATTCAATTGATCAAAAAGTCTAAATATTAAATATAGTGGATACATTTTTTTGATAGTGATCTTGTTAAATCCTCAATAATCAACACATATCCACAATGATCCATCTTTTTTCTTGACAAATAGAATTGGGACTCATATTAGAGATTTGGAATGGCATATGAAGTTCTTAGCTAGATCCTCTTCAACATACTCCTTGAGTTTAGACAATTCATTATGTGATAAATTATAGATTGGTCCAAATTGTAATTGTGCTCCTTCTAAAAGGTCAATTGAACAATCATAGGAATGATATTCTAGAAGAATATCTGCATTTTTTTTTTCAAATAAATCTTGAAATTCTTAACATTGGCTTGGAATGCCATTTAAAGTCTTTGCACTATTAGAAATAGATTTGGTATAAATGACACAAGGTGATCCTTCTTTTGTAGCATGTAAGAAAGCTCTTGCATTTATAAACATGGGTTTAATTATACTAGACTTGTGATTTTCTAATTGATTAACTACACTCTTAATTATACTTTTAAAAAAGTTGAGAATACAAGAAATCCAATCTATTCAATGATTGTATTTTTTAAACTACAATAAGCCTAAAATGTTTAGATTAGAAGGAGATCTAATAATATTAAATATCACAAAGTTCTTATGGCTATTGGTTATTATTTCTATAGGAAGGATTTTGTGAGTAACATCTTCAAAAGACAACGGACAATCATCTTTGACTTCTACATGAATAAGTTTAGTTTTTTTTTATTAAAGATATGCTAATTCTTTCAGTAAATTTTTCATCCAAGAAACACACTGAGGCTCTTAAATCTAACAAAACAGAGGCTTTGTAATATTTAGGTCCTAAAATAATATTTAATATAAAACAAAAAGAGGATTTTGAGGAGAAAATAGAACCTTTATTAGGTATTGTACAAGGTTTTAATTGCATGATTTCTATTATAATTAGACAAATTTATTTTCTAATATATTATCTTCTTTGGTATTTGTACTCTTCATTTTATAATTATATTTTTTTTTTGGATAATTTTGAAGAATGTGCTTAGAATCTCTATAATATAAATATAATTTTTCTTAACTACAATGAGTCTTTTCTTGCTTAATAAGAGATTTGAAATGTACTGTATCAATTTACATATCTTCTACTTTTAAATGTATGTGTTGAATAGGCATTGATGTTGCCATTGAATTATAATAACGTTAAGGCCCACTTGTCTGATTCTCAGATAGAAATTTGAAAAGTTAATTATCACACTTTACAATAAAGTTAATCGCTTGACTCAATATTTGAGGATCAGATAAGTTAAGCATCAATTTCTTTACCTCATATTATAATCTATAGAAAAATTGGCTTAAAAATGCAATATCATTCCACTTAATATCAGTTGTAAGTTATCAAAATTGTGAAGCATATAATATTATAGATTAATTGCCTTATCACAAAACATAGATCTTTTTGATTGTAATATAAGTTACATTATGTTTTCTATATATAGATTGAAATTTTATCAAAAAAGCCTCCAAATTATATAATATTAGATCTTATTGTTGAAAAAAAAGATAAAAACCTTAATAATGCTGAATTTGAAAGAAGTGTATCAATGAATCTAACTTGTGATCCTTGAATTGGATAGCTTTTGGGATTGAAGTTCAATCATAAGTTATACTTGATTGATAAATCCTCGAAACTTAGATCTTATACTATTAAACTTCTTAAGCAAGGTAATTCTTGATTTTTTAGTATTAGAAGGATGTTTTGCTATAAGAAAAGAAACATGATTTAGTTGAGATGTTGAAGCAACTCCAATCATATTTATATCTTCACTTCCTACCATTCTTCTTACTCCTTATGGTGGTAAACTGAGTTGATGCATTGCAAGTATTAATTTCTTCCATTGCTCTTGCATTTAAGCCATTCCATTCTTCATTTCAACAAGCTCGGCCATGATAATATTTAAATATATATATATATATCTGATTTTGCTCAAGTCTTCTAGAAAAGATGAATAGACATTAAAGAGGATACTAAGAATAATATCACTTTATAAAAGGGTAATCTACAACTTCTAATATACTTATGTCTTATCAAAAGAAAGGAATAATCCACTCTTAATCAAGAAAAGATAAGGCTCTGATATTATAAGTGTACTCTTGTCAGTTTTTCAAGAATAAGAACTTGATGAAAGTAAATAAATAAGTATAATAAAATAAAAATAAAGAAATATGTATATTAAAAAAAACAAAAATGGTTATTGCCAAAAGACAAGGAAATTAGAGACTCTTGAATCTAGACTAGAAGCAAAAAAGGAATTAACAAGAGTGAAGAAGGCTTCACTCTTGCCTCTATATATATCATCTAATTAGGAGATATATGGTAATATTCTATAGAACCTCTAATATCTGTTGACTTTGCAAGACAAATGCTTTAGCTTATAAGACAAGTTTTTTATGAATGTGCCACATGGCTAACTTGTTGACCATGTTTTTAATCTAAAAAGTCAATTATAGACACCTATAAAGTCAAAGTAATGTCTATGAAGCTTTTAGGAAGCTATTATAAAAGATATTATAAAATTAATCTACTTTTATCTATTTTTACTTACTTCTATCTACTTCTATCTAATCATATAGGTAATTATTGATTTATATGTGTATGTCCATGATATAAGACCTCTAATATATGTCCAATTTGCAAGACACATATCTTAACTTACAAAGCAAGTTTTTTTTATGTATGCCACATCATTAGCTTGTACTACAAGCTATCTACACATGCAACAAATGGCTAACTTTTTGACTAAGTTTCTAACCTATCAATCAATTGTAAACATGTATAAAGTTAAATAAGTGTCTATGAAACTTCTAAGAAGCTCTGCCATATGATAAAAAATCTATATATATTTATCTTCCACCTAGTACTTTTTATCTAAATAAATATATATGTTTATGACATACAATTCTTTTTTAGTGCATACTTACAATAGATAATTTCTCAAGTGTTCTTTTCCTTGATGAAATAGCAATAATCTTTTTAATCCAAATTAATATAGATTTATTCATAACATGCATTTAGTTCTAGTTACTTATGTTGCTTGAAAATACTTATTGATCATTCCAATTCCAGAAATCTTATTGTATTAATAAAAAGAGATTAGATTATTTTTTAGAACCTTACATCAAGAAGAGCACTTCTCAAATTACTTTTACTTGATTACATACATATTCAATGGTGCATGAAGAGATTCACAATAAATGCCACAATCTCACCTTATATTGCACAAAGATATTTTAAATAGTTCAATGTGCCATCACCATGAATTATATAGATAGTTGACCACATCAATCACAAAGAGAATCTTAATAGATAATTAAATACATGACGAAATAGGAAGTTGTTGATTTAAGAGAAGTGACATCATTCATGGAAAAGAAAAAAAGGGCAATAAAGTCAACAAGGCTTTTAAAATAGATGATGACAATAACGATAACTATTCCAAATTGCAATAACAATGCAAGTTGTTGCCACTTCTACAAGGTCAAATTCACAACATTTTGGAGCATGATAATCGAGCTACAACACATTGAGCTATATTTATGAACACAACACATGGGGTGGAATGAGGTTGCTTTAGAATACACTGAATTAAACATTAGAACCCAAGGATGTTACTTTAACAACTCCTAATATATATATATATATATATATATAATTTTCAATACATCCTCACTTACCATGTGAATATACATATAAAAGCATATATGTTATTCTCAAAATATGTACCTAATTCCAATAAATTGATTAAGGAAATATTTTCTTGAAATTGAACTAGAATACAAAGTCAATTACAATGTCAGCGTGATATGAAATTCATGTTGCAACCTTCTTTTTAGGTATCACACAATTCTAGGAGAATTCAGAAGCTATCAATGGAAGTACAGGTGCAGGTTACAGCCGCACACAAATATGTAGGCATATATATATATATATATATATATGTGAGAGTGTGTGTGTGTGTAACGGTGCATATTAATTAAAATTAAAACCCATAGTTAACTCTCCACAATAAGACAACCAAAATCTGCAACCTGAGATTCCGCTGACACTCCATTCTTCGACCTGTCAAACAGATTCTCATTCTCTTCCCGTTTCGTGGAAGTTTATTAGTTGCAAAACCCACATAAAAAGGGGACGATCGAAAAATCTTCACTGAAGGGGGAAAAGCATCCTTGTCTGATCCGCTCTCATTCTTAACTTCCCCAAAAGAGTAAACTCGTCACATGGCTGTGAATAGATTCTGAACCATAGAAACTTACTCTATCAGGAAATGGCTGTAAACCCACATAATGCAGATGAATGTTCTTTTTTTACATAAAAAACCTGATAGTCGAAGTAAGTCGGAGACTTTAACTTCTGACACTATAATTTGCAAAGGTTACGAGTCTGATTCCTCCATTTTTATTGAGAAAGGTCTGATGCGAAGCGCTGCTCCATGATATGTAGAGTTACTTTACAGAATAAATTAGGTCTGTGGAAGAGTCAAAGATCTTTCGTAACTCGGATATCCTGAATACTGGGACCTAAAGCGAGTGTCCGTTCTCAACAAACGATGTGGCAGTCTAAGGACCTATAGAAACAAAATATATTTATTTACATATATGTCTACCCACCACCGCCAGTGGAGTGTACACAGTATGTACGCAGATTTATACGAGTACCAGCATGAAAGGAGTGCCGCATCGAAGGCAAGTGGGATCCAGACTTCGAACCTGTTGACCACTAGACCACCAGTCTAGGATTCAATTGAGTACATCGAGTCTGCATACTCAGTGGACGCTTTTTCAAGTGTCCAGACCTCAAAACATTCCCAGCCAGGCACTGCCACCCGGGGGACGACCGCGATGACTCTGAGAATAGAGGGTCCAGTTGGCTCGCACCTGCAACGCGTTAAATACAGGCTTTGAAATCTGTGAAGAATAAGAAGTGGACATCCTGAGCTTGGGGTGTTTCAACAGTATGAATTGATCGCTGGGTTGAAAATATCGTACCTTTGAGGGGTCCGATTGGCGGAGAACACTGGAGAGTGAGCATTCATTCCGTTGCACACTCATTCCGTTGGGGTTTGCGATGGAATAATGATAGCACGCAATAACCACAGGACGGACACTGCTTGGCGCGCATTGCCTGTCTTGGGTTGCTGGTGTTGGGACGGACATGTTTTTAGTGTACAATGAGTGTTACAGCTTATGCTGTATATCCTGGCGTGCCATGCAGCTGAAAAAGAGACACTCCCTGCTGTCACTGTGGGAGGAGCTCATTGTAGCCACTCGTACCAGGATGTTTCCATCCCTCTGGTTCCACGGAGAGGAGCAGATCAACCATCACTGAAAGCTCTCGGTCTGAATACTGGACCACAAGCTTATCGGACTTTGTCTCGTCAGAACGGAGGACTCATTCCAAACCAATGCACTGGCTTAAAAGTACATCGTCACAGATTCTCAGATCTGTACTGTCCTAACACCTAAGGGATTCATGCTTGCTACGGCTACAGGTCGATATGATGCTGAAATGCTTTACAACATAAACGTATATATCTATGTATTATCGTATAAACATTGCCTATTGCTGTGAGTGACATTTGAGGAGGTGACAGGATGACGAACATTACTTGGGGTCCTGTCCCAAAAGCCACTCAAACTGCAAGACCTATCGACAACTGTCGTCGAAGCATGCTGTCCGTTATTCGCAGCTGACATCAAGAGACGTACATAGAGGGTTATGATCTTAAGAACCATACAACTGATAACTGGCAGGTACCATTGCTGTAATAATAATAAATTTGGATGATAAGCTAGACAAAACATGAAAATCCACGTAACAATGAGTAACCAAATGTAATATTCCAGTTGCGCCGTCTAATCGTGAAGGCAACTGGAACAGCTTTTCGAACGAACCTACAAAAAACAACTTGACCCTGCATGAAATAAGTGATCTGAGTTATGTTCACTTATTTCATGCCGTATTATAATTTGTTTCAAGATAGCTCCAGTACTTACACCTGCATGTTGCCAATAGCCTGTAGGAGCCAGTTCCGTGTGGTTCAGTGCGATTCGTCTCCAAGTCAACTGGTACACAACGAGTACTGATAATTCCCAGCAGCTTTAATGGGAATTTGTAACGACTATATCGGTCGCACTATGAGAACCACTGAGGGAGGTTTTTGTTGCCGATTCCCTTGTAACAAATTCTCACCAATGCACACGACGACAGTTGTCAAGGAAAAGGAAGTGACAATATTTGCATGATTGAGTTGATAAGCAAAAAAGATAAACTAACAAAATCCTGCGAAGAGACAAACCATGAAAAGTTGTAAACAAATTGGAAGAAGCAGAGTGTAGTACAATTGCAGTGCCCAGGGCGGGAGTCAGGTGAAAGAAGCATTCAATTCAAGGACATTAGATGAATCACACTTTAGCAATGTTGAAGGATCGTACCAGAGAATTTCTGAATCCACAAACTAGAAATTTTTTATTTTGGGAGTATTAACTATCATGTGGCTAAATACGTTGGTGTAAAAGGACGCACAAAGAGGCATGCGGAGAGCATCTACAGCGGCGTATTCTTTAAAGTCGAGAAGCCACTTATGTGCAGTCAGCATAAAGGTCGCAAGAATAGCCAGTCAATGGGCACAAATTCTGAATTGCTCTAGCACCTCAGCTACGCCCGCGATTTAACCAAGATATGATTCCTGCACATCCTCTCACAGTTATAGTTAGACTCCATATCACATGTTTTATGTCCTGTAAGTACGTGCACCAAGACATAAAAGACTTCACAAAGATATACTATCATCTCACGCCTAGATACTTATGACTTGATACTGAAACAATGTATGGCATCAATTTACAGACAGTACTCCACCAGACGTTGTGTACGAAGCCAGGTGTCGAGCTGTGTGAGACTGTTCATCTCTGATCCGGTATCCTGGTGAAAAACATGGTGGATCACACAAGTTATTATCGTGCCATACAATTTCCATCAGGGTTTTGAGCAGGAACCGCTGCCACCTCCTGTGAATCGGCATTTGAATGGAGAGAATTCTTTCGTCGTGGTGCCAATGTCATGATCAATTCTGTTGTCACCGTAGAGTCAAGTTTCTCATGAAGTTTGAACTTATGACAGGGCTGACCTTCGAGACAGATGCGGTTTTATGCATCTCCAATCGCGTAGGCAAGCACGTTAATGAAATAAAATGTTACACTAAGAGCTCGAGGAAGTAATCAATTGTTTCATAACAACTTGTCTGTGATTCTAAGAAAGTAATACAGCAATAAAGTACAGATCTAGTGTGATCCCTCTTCCCGTGAGTTGCAATCTAGGCATTCTAAGCAAGGAAAACTCTTGGATTTTGGGATTGTTTATTCTGGTATTGGTTCTGATTGGTTCCCTCATCACTTCTATGCACGCCGCATGTAGATCGTTCAATTTAAGGTTTGATGCTTACTGTTGATGACATTAACAACGAAGACGACGATCAAACGCACATAGAAATTGAAAAAAGTTACTGTACTATTAAGATTAGCATTGAGAATGGTGGTCACACCTAAACGCCAACATTTAACTCAATCTGCACACAAGAATTGAGTACATGAATTAGCGATACTAAACAAGGCTATTTGGAGGAAGTAATTTGTTTTATTTTAATTTTTAAATGCTGCATTAAACTTCCATTAGAGCTTTGATGTACATCCGAAAATGTCTTCTCAGCCAAACGCGTTGACAAGTGCCGACAGTTCTCATTCACTTCATTACCGCATATCAGTTCAATGTATTGTACTACACTACATATTAAAGATTAGACTCATGAACCTCCTACCTTTACAGAGATGACAATCGTGGCGTGCATATCACGACTGTGAAAGAGAACAAAAGATCAACATCATAAAAACATCGAAGAAGTGCTCGAGCTTCAAAAGTAAATTCGTTGCAGAACCAAGTCGTATTATTCAGTGCCTCGGCAGTACTCAGTAAAGCCTGTGTTTCGAGGCCCATAATTTATACTTGCAAACCTTCGCCACCGCCTTCCGCCACCGCCAAGTTGATTCAGTGCATCCAGAACAGAAATCATGGGAATTTTTCTGACAAGCGGAGAGATTCCATGGCAAGCAATCAGTAAAAGAGCCAGCTCACTTTGGTGCCACTAACGAAAAATGTGACAACCATCAAATCCCAAACCTGATCGTGCAAGTACCTTCCCGAGATCACAAGCTGTACCTTTTGGAGATCATAAGTACCTTGCTACACTTTTAACTATCTAATAATGCATCTCGACTGTTACTGGCTAGTACGACCACTGGTAGATACGGATATGCCTCGGTCACACTACAACACGGAAGAGTGTTAACAACAATCACCGACAACTTGGAATCTAAATAATAGAGGTGCCAGTCAACCAACAGACACACTATAACTTGTAACTCGTATAACAGCCCAGCTCTGGAGCACATTCATGATGTACACGTAGTAATCGGCAACGTAATAATTGATGTTGTTCCAAAGTTCAGTTTGCTTCAGTACAAACGTAAGATACTCAGCTTAAGAAATGCTCACATCCAATCTGCTCTCTAGTATTCGGCTTGACTGGAACACGCTCCTAAACCAATACAGATAACGAATTTGGTCTCTAGTCTCCACTGGCCTAGTAGAGTCCTGGAATATCTGGTCCGAAAAGTGACATGAATTCGGATGCGCCTACACTTATAAACCATCCTCAGCCGAGCTCTGAAGAATCTCGTAGTACAGCCGGTAACTGTAGTCACCGGCCCTATTAGTCTGATATGCAGCTAGATCCAAGAACTGTAGTCAATCCATCGTTACTGAGACCACAGCTTCCTCGGCCATCAACAGAACTGTCCGACCTGCACGAATCCAAGGACCCATATTTCTAAGGAATATTTAGAACTTTTCAGTACTGAAGCACACTGAGACAACGTCTCAATGGGTCTGGGCGGTTGAGAAACTTCGATTTCCGTCCAAGTATCAGGATAACCAGGTGATAGTGTCGCGAGAGAACATCGGAGATAAGGTCTGAACGGTTGGAAGGTTGTGATAGTAACAAATCTAAGGAATCAACATTCTCCAGCTAGAATTGAGCACTTGAATGGGACCATTTGATGTAGGCCAAAACGAAAGATCTCCCAACCAGGATACTGCTCCCTTAGTAAGGCACCGTCCATCTGCGTGAAGGTAATTGCAGCATCCGAAGTTGCCTCTCCTTCGATTGTCACAAGCGTTACATTCTGAAAGAACACGACACGATCATTCGCAGTAGAAACACATCCAAGTAGGGTCTAGAAGAGAGAGAGAACAGCCCGATGACAGTGCACCATGTACCGCTAAAATCGGTCACATGAGAAAAGTCCAGGGCTGTGCTCTCTCTCTTCGAAACCCGGCTTGAATGTAGAAAAGGGGAGTTTATGACGTGAACCATACAGAACCGAGATACGGCACTACGATGCCTGTGCCTAGGTATCTAATGGTTTTCTCTGAGTTACAACCGACATGCACTCAGGTTGGAACCAGAAGAGAGAGAGCACAGCCCATTCCAACTAAGCGGTTGCTCTTGGGCTGTACTCTCTCTCTTCTGATCCCAGCATGAGTGAGTAAATTGCTGACATCTATCATGATCTGAGCAAGTGAGTCGGTTAAGAAGTTTTCCTCACTTTGATAACGCTCCGACTAGATTCAAGGAACCTGCAAAATCATTCACGTCAGCCCTTCAAACATAGAGCACACTGACTACATGATGTTCCGTACTGGAATAATCATACTAAAGACAGTAACAGGAGCCAAAGATATAATTGGCTTCAAAAAATCAGATGCATGCGAACTGTAGCAAGCTCGTCTTATAGAACGAAGACGGTCATTGTTCCACGCACACAGAAACGATGGTCAACCGTATGGTTAAGAGGTTTAGCCCTGTCAAACTTCAGTCGGTGAGACAGAAAGAAATGGAACGGAAATCTAAACGGATGCTTGAGGTTGAACTTGCTAGAGAATCATGTAAACATTTTCAGTATGTCAATATTCGTTTTGAAAGTGGCGAACTATCTTGCCCATTGCTGAAAATGGTTGCTTCCCTGCAAAAAAAAACAATTTGCTACTCATGAGGCGACAGAATGCAGAGTGTAAGGAACTTCAAAGGAACGACGGCTCTAGGAATTACATGCTTAGAAGATAATTCTACGGCAAATTTGCTCGCGATTCGCAGACACTCGTCCCTCAGACACCCAGAAAACGTTCAAAACAGATGAAGCAAATAAAAAGTGGGGCAACAGAAAGAAGGAATAACGACATGTTGAGAGAATCATCAGAAAAAACCCTCGATTCTAGATGCGATTTCTTTACCGAACCGCTTAGCAAACTACTTACACCATAATAATTTTTAACCTGCTTGCCAGCATTCGGGGCATCTGCTGCGGACGCTCGCCTTCCAGACCCGCAGGATCACCTTCATGAAGAAAAATCACACTGGCCATCCGGTAGACATCCGGCAGCACCCTCAATCTAGAAATCAGCGTCAGATCTCCACACCCCAACAGCACCCCGAACAGCGACACACCGATCACCGGCGAACATCGCAGCGTGCGGGAGTAGCAGCAATCCGCCTGAAGGGCCAAGGCAAGACCGAGAGAGAAGCTCGCACCACCGCCACCAAGGCACACCATGTGATGAAGCCAGATGCGCGAGTCAGCAGTCAAGGTCCCGTGCGAGGCACGAGGAAGGGAAGAAAGACGAAGGCGGGCGGGAATTCTTTTCTGGAGACCAGATATGCACCCAGTTACATATATATACACAACACAGCCTTCCGTGGCTGTGCAACCGTGCCCACCATCGCCCGATCCAGGGGAGACTTTTTCACTGCCGGTAGGCGCTGCTGTTGGTCACGTCGCCGCTATTCTTCCCCTCTCGCGCTCTCTCCCATGGCGTGTCTCGTCGCGACATGATGGGCGGACGGCGTGGAGTGCGCACCTTTAGGCTGAGCTTTCGACGCTGCCGGAGTGGGTGGGTCTAGCCCCCAAGTGCTGCTTCACTTGGCTCTCAAAAGTGGGGAATTAGATGCCAAAAGGTGGGCATGATCCCCTCGCTTCTGTCCCCCCCCCCACCCCCTTCTCTTCGCCTTCCTCCCTCCCTGCCTTCCTTATCGCCGCTATTCCAACGCCACGCCTTGCTTGCATTACCTCGGTAAAATCACAACCCATATTTCAAGTACATAACTTTACAAACTAAAAATAAACAAATAAATTATAAACTTGGCTTAGTCTCTCCCCTTCGTCCGGTCGCCGTCGCGCCGTCGCGCCGTCGCGCCGTCGCGCTCGACACCACGCCCGTCGCGATTGCACCACCACCCTGGGCACACCCGTCGGGCAGATAGCTGGGCAGGGTCTGTATATTTGTTTGGGTACTGCCCTTGCCCGAATTGACCTCCTCCGCTGCCCGGTGAAAGTAATTCCCACCTCATTCCCACCACTACCACCTCAGCAACAAAAGAAGATAATTAATCCAAACGGGCTGTGGCTGCTGTTGCTTCAATTGTTAGTCTTGAGGTTTTGGGAAACTGTACCCAATCATCATTCTCACTCACTCACATTTGGATAGAGATATGTGTGTGTATATATATATCCTTTGCTCCAAATAAATTGTGTATTTTTGGTGATGAGAGCTAAAGCTTATGGGTCATTGAGAGTGTATATCACATCATTCAATAATGATTTTTTAAAAAATAAAAATTGAAAAAAACTATGGTTTATTTTATTTTACTTTACTTTATTGATGTATGCTTTGTTGTTGTAACCAACCAACCTCTAATAAGAGATTCTTATCCTTCCATCCATGAAAAGATTGTATGACAAAATGCGTGACAATTTTATTGTGTGTAATTTATTTTATTTTATTTTTTAAAAAATGATCTTTTTAAGTTCTATTGTCATGGTGTTGTTGTGTGTTTTAAATATGTTAGCTAGTGAATTTATAATGTACGTATTTGTAAGGAACCTTTATGCAGTGACATGTAAAGTATATTGTTCTATAATAAAATTTATGGAAGATTTTCTATTAGATAAGCTGTAAAAATAAGAATATTGGATTTTAAATTTCTACTCCTTATCAATCAAACTTTAAAATGTATTTTGTTTTGTATATTTTTTAAAAAATAAAAAATGATATAAATCTTGAAAACAATGGTACGTTCAATCAATAGATACACACACATAACTCTGTTATTCTTTCATGTATTGGTAATTTGTCCAAAAAAATTTGCAGTGAAATATATATATCAGATTTTATCATTTGCATTGCACAACACAGCATTGGATGACTTCAAATATATATATATAACATTTTCATTCATTGAATGCACACATACATACAAACATACATAAAATAAATAATAATAATAATAATAATAATTAGAAGTTATAACTAGTATATTTCAAAACAATAAAGAAAAGTAATCAATTTTGTGACTGTATTCCAACTCCTCATGCATGAGGACAGGGTATGAAAAATGCTGAGTTGGATTGGCAGCCTTCTTCCATGTGAAGGATCACATGTTACGTGAGGAATTAAGGATCCCTTCCACCCACCATCTCTTCTGCAAATCCCACAGACCACAAGTTCCAATATGAAGAAATAATAAATAAAACAAAACACTATGTTGATTATTAAGGGTGATAGCCAGGATTGCAAGTTGCAAATTTTATCTCATTTTTTAAATATTATGTTAGTTGTTAAATTGTTCCATTTTAGTTTTAGAATAAATTCATTGTGAATATATGTGTGTGTGTGTATATATATATATATATATATATATTGGTCCTTCAACTATATCTTTTCATAATTATTTTAATAAATTGATACAAGAAATAATTTAATTTTAAGCTTCATTAACAATAGAATGAAGGAATGGATGAATATATTATGTATGTATGTGTATAAATTAATGTTTTTATCAGTATTGTTTTTGTACAATTTTGTTTTGAAGATGGATTTATAGGAGCAAAAATATAAAGATATTTTGGTTTAAGAAAGTTTCATTTCAATGAAACATGTATGTATGTGTGTATGTGTGTGTGTATGCATGTATGTATGTTTAAAAAAATCAACATTAAAGATGCAATTGGAATATTTCTTTTAGCCCAGTTTAGAAAAATATTTTTTCTTCTAAAAGCCAAACACAATCTTTGATTATTGTTCAATCATGACCAATGTGTCAATTCGAAACCAATTCTCTTAATGGTCAAAATTTGACTTTTTAAAGGATGTTTCCAAAATGGGAGAGCAATAACTAGAGCTCACATGGAGTTCACAAGAGTTGTTTCTAAAGCAAGTGGTTTATTTATATACCCTAAAAATAAGAGGCTTTCTAGAATGTACAAAATCTATCTTTATTCTCAACAAAACATGGTTTTACTTTTAATTTTTGTGTGTGTGTATATATATATATATATATATATGAATAAGGAACAAAAGCAAATAATGATACCAAAGATACAAGTGCCAATGACACTATTTGGGCTCTACATGGCCCATGGAATTTCCAATGTAGTGGGTTTGATGGATACTAAATGGAAGAAAACCTTCAAAGGATGTGCATCCAAGGGCACCCACAAAATTATGCTAGTATGTTTCAACTTTTTCCATTGTTAATTCTAAACATGATCTTTATGAAATCCATAGCTGCTAAGTTGTGGAGCATGAAAATTTGGCTACTGTAGCTTTTTCTTTTCTTTTCTTTTCTTTTTCTTTTTTTTCCAGGTAGGGCCTGGAAATGGTTGAAATGGCTGCCAAATTTCAAGCTTTGGGGACCCAAGTGAGGACCACAAGTTGTGGAAGCGGAGGCATTTTGGATGATTTGTGCAGCCCCCCATTTTTGAAAGGCACAATGTTGGGAATTATGCATAACTTTTATACTGACCAACTTACAAAAACAATAATAATTTTTTTGATATTACAAACCTGATTGATTAATTTTAAAAGACAAATTGAGATGATTGTTGATTTTAAGTGTGAAGAATGTGATATAACTAGGAAACAAATCCATTACTATTCTATCAATACCTTATTTTCAATAAACATTTCTTTCCTGTTATATATATATATATATATATATATATATATAGAGAGAGAGAGAGAGAGAGAGAGAGAGGGGTTGATCATGAAATAATACTATTTATAAATTATTCACTTATAACATGTGGAAATTTATCTTGACATATTTTTGACAGTGCATTTTGTCAGACTCAAACATGAGAATTTACTTGATTAATTTTTTGTTGTGTTTTCTATTTTTTTTAAAACAATTATCAAATGTGCCCAGTTGTATTGAAGTACATGTATAAATTGTATGCATTTTGAGTGTCATGAAACAAAAAACATTCAAATTGGTAATTCAAGATTCCCAACAGAGATTGAAAATTATTGTAGAAGTGGGCTTGAGTTTTAAATGTATTATTTGTAATTGTTATGTTTCAAAATTACATAACTAACTATTTTTGGAAATCTCCAAACAGAATCTTTCATTTGTTCATATGATGCAACCTGTTCAAGACCACTAAAATACATTCCAAACTTTGATTTATGTATTTTATGAAAACATTATTTTTCTAAAGTAACTTGATATTGTCAAATTCTTTTTCTTTCTTTTTTATTATTATTATTATTATTATTATTATTATTTTGTTTGTAACAGTTGGAAAAAAATTAAATTTAGATTTAAAAAAAATGTAGTTGATGAACACCGTACTGTCTTCTTTCATGAAAATAAAAACTTGAATGGCTTTTTATTGAAGTATTATTATAGTAATTTGGCATTACTTTATCTGCTTGAAAATATTTAAGCTAATAAGTCATCATTTGTTGTAAGAAAAGGAATAAAACAAAAATTCTTAATAGTATAAGAAATTCATGAATTGCTTTTATTTTTGATAGCAAATGTACAAGATTTTGTACTTTGTTGTGCAAACAAAGATTGTTGCACACAATGTATCAAGTGCTACAAATCAATCACAAAGTATATAATCTAAACCAAATACACCAACACACTAGCAAGGAAAGATTATAAATTTATACGCAACTAAGTCCAGCTAACTTTCACTTCACAAAAGGAGAATCTAAAAGTGCAAGTGTGAAGAATAGAAAAAAGCCTAAGCTTTACTAAAATGCTTAAATCATTATAGCCAAGCAAACTTTTACAACAAGTTTTTTTTCTTTAAAAATCACTCACAAGACTTGACAAGAATGTCAGGTCAAGAGGTTTTTCCTACTAAACATTAAAACTCTAGTTGACATCAATATGTCAACTAATAGAAAAAACTAATGGATGGATAAACTTCTAAACCACATATATCTGATGGGATTTGGCACCCAATGCCACATCATATAACAACTTACTAGACATCTTAATATTCTAATAAGATTAGTCTATTTTAAAACTTTAAAAAGAAATTTTGTATAATATAGAACCTTTACCTGATCATAATATAAATGCCAAATGGTTTTAAGATCATCAAAGTTAGGCAAAGATTATGCATTGTATTCAAACCCTAATTGCATTAGAGGTCAAGAGAAAGACAAAGATAGTTATAGAAAAGACATAGAACTATATTTGATTTTTCAAAGAGTAATCTCTGTAAAGTTGTCCAATTTAAGTTTTATGTCAAAGGTAATACTTTATTGCCATGCTGAGATGCATGCCAAGATCTCTCATATGTTATGCATCATAGTATGATGAGAAATGTATAAATAATACATTATGTAGCATATAATAAGATAAAATACATATATACTCAAACATGCAATAATTTAGAGAACTTTGATTATTCTATCAAAAACCAATTGCATGTATTTGGTAATATCCAATGCATTTTCAAGATAGGAAAAAACATAGAGAATTAAACTCGAAATATAAACTAAACTTCTCAATAATTTGGGAGCTACATGCACTTTGACCTAAATTTTAATGTAATTAATTTTGAAATCTTATTTATTTTAACAAGAATTTTGCATCCATGAAAAGAAGGAATTTAGTTGAGATATTTTCCCAAAACAAAATCTACTTGGAGGATTATATTATGATAA